CGTGTAAGCAAAACGTTGAAAATTATTGAAATCGGACTAAAATAACGGCCGATTCTCATATAACGGTAAATTTAAGAAATGCTTGAAACTTCAATATTTCGAAATTGAAGGACGCTAATTTACTCAAAATTGATACACCTCGGCTTACCATCTAGCGCAAGGTTTCGGAAGGGTGAAAAAACATATATTTAATACTTGCGCCGGGTATTTAATGTTCGGCTCCGCCCGAACTTAGACTTTCTTACTTGTTATTCTCTGAATTTAACTGTCTTTCAACTCACTACAGTCTTTCGAAAGGCAAAAGTCAACTCTGGCAACTGTCTTGAAAACTCTGTCCTCTCGTTTGAAAGACTAATTGAAAGATCTGCTAACGAGCAATTCTTAGAGTTATTTCGTTTTTCTTTTAGCAATAAGATTTCTAAAAATTAATGAAATTAAAAAATGTGTATATGTACATGTTTTGAAAAAATAAAAACTAAAAGTTAAAAGAAGACTAAATAAAGCAATAAAAATAAAACTAAATTAAAAATATATGTTTCCTTTTAAACAATAAAATAAAAAAGGAATAAAAAGTAAATTTAAAAGAAATGTATTTCTGCTGAATTTTTTTTAGATTTTTTTGTGGCTAATCAAGAAAGTCGCAGAAGTTCCGAAATATTAACCCTCTAGTAGGCCAATTTTTTTATGAGTTGAAAACTTCAGGAATGGGTGATTTTAGCACGAGAAACCCAAAACTGATGTCCATTTTGATCTGTGACAGTAACTTTTTCCTACAGGGGAGAAAAACCAAGACCGTCTGGAGACGGGCTCGCTGATATACTTACACATATTTTCAGCTTTCTCTTACACAATGTTGACCTACGCACCGGCAATGCCGTCTGCAGACGGTCAAAAATGCAAACTGGGTTTTTATATGTCGGCAAGCCGGTCTGTAGACGGTCTGTGTTCGAAAGCAATTTTCTCCATTTCGGATAGTCACACAATTATAAAACTTATATCAAAATACTGTGCTTTTAACTACGAAACTCACTGAATTTTTTTGTATCAAAAAAAATTTCAAAAGAAAAAATTTCTTTAATTACGAAATTATTAAAAAGCAAGAAATAATTAATTTTAACCGTGTTTTCAAAATCTGTAATTCAACTGCCGATTAAAATAAAACGGATTGACATAACGGATTAAAATTTACTTCGCCGTAAGGGTACGATTTTTGTCTAAAGATCGTGCCTTACGAATATAGAAAAAATTATTATAGGTGCACTAAAAAGGTGTTTAGTTAACGACCGTCTGGAGGCGGTTCTGCCTACTAGAGGGTTAATAGCGAATAAAAACACATTTTTGCAAAAAAGGAATTCCTTAGCCCTTCACGACCGAGGGGTCAATGGGCCACATTTTTTATTATCATTGCGAAAGAACAAAAGGGTTATACAAACCATTTATACAGTGGCTATTTTTAAAAGTCTTTCCAAATTATATTAGTTAAATGGAAAGTTAAAAGGAGGAGCCTTTGCAACAACCAAATTGTAAACAGCCTTTGACTACTGGCAGTATCAAGAATACCTAGAAAAAAAACCATTTTCTGTGAAAATGCCGCATAGAATGTAGAATTAAACTTGAAACAAATCCATCACAGAATAAGTTATATACAGATGAAATGAGCTTGGTTTCAACTGCGAAAATTTTTCAGAAAAGGCTATAAGGACATTCACTTAATTTGAATATACTTGTATGGAATTTATCATTGCATTGAATAAAAAATTAGGTTAAGTGATTTTTTAACAACATTCGCATATGTACGTTTATTTTTTACGCTAAATTTAATTCAAAGTTTCAAACATTGTACAGAGAAGTGAATCATCCAGATTAAGACAATTTTTGCGAGGAATCCGGTTCCCTTGGGGTACCTGGGCGACGAAGCACAAAATAGGAGAATGAGCAGCGAGGATTCGTTAAAGCTTCTCTCCAACCTTCTGGACGATCGCCACATGTCCAGGACAATAAATTCGTTCAAACCCTTCAATCGGGCAATTGGCTGGCTCCCTAAAGCTTGGAGGGTGGTCGGGGTTGCGTTCATCCAGAAAGCCGCAGAGGGTTCCCATGTTCCCCTAAGGATTTTAGGCCTATCAGTCTACCTTAGTTTTGCTCGGGATTACTCTCGACTTTCTTTCGAGGGTTAAACATGCTTATTGCAAGAGAAGGTCGGTGGATACCGGCTTGCACACATTAGAAAGTGGAAGTGCCTTCACTCAGAAAATTATACAGTAGAGGCCTTCCTCGATATCGAGGGCGCTTTCAGTCAAATCTATTCATAAGCTGCGGGTTTAAAACAACCTAACAAGGCTTATCTGCAGCTTAATGCGTGACGTAGCGGAGTGCGGGAGTGCCTGCGCTCAGCGTAGAGTCAATAGGGACACTCCGCAAGGTGGTGTTCTCTCTCCCTTGCTCTTTATTGCTGTTGTAAGCGACCTCAAATAGGAAGTGGAAAAATGGGCTGTCGGCTGATCGCCTATGTAGATAATGTGTCCCTCTTGGTTAGGGGTCGTTATCTAGGTAACCAGGTGGGCAGCCAACTGCGGCCTCGCAGTCAATACCAGCTAAAACTGGTATTGTTTGTCAGGAAGTGCAAGATACCCGTTGGGGCCCTTCCCACGATCGGAAGTATCTGTTTGCAGCTCTCAGGCAGGGCCATGTACCTAGGCTTGATCCTGGTTAGGAAGCTGTCGTGGAAGCCTAACATTGAGGAAATTGCAAAAGAGGCGTCGGTTGCCTTGTACTGCTGTAGGGGAGCTATCGGTAAGAGGTGGGGTCTCTCGCCCAAAGTAATTAATTTGTTCTATGATACCACAGTTAAGCCTACCTTGTTTTATGGAGATTTCTTCTGGTCGAACTCACTAGAAGAAGCAACCGGAGCGTATACAACGTATCGCACTAATCGGCATTAGTGGAGCATTAAGAACCACACCTATACTGGCGATTAACGTATTGAACATTGCACTTGTGGATATTGCAGGCAGAATTGTCGAAGTACGAACCTTTATTTGGCTCAGGGAAACCGGGTAATTAACTAGCTCGAAAGATGGACACTCTGGACGTTTGGAAGGTGTTGACTTCATTGCTGGCAGCCAGCAGCTTCTGCTCTACTTACGTACGTGCCCTCAATAGAGGACTTGGCAGGGGGCGGTAAACTTCTTCACGAACGGTTCAAAACTTGGAGATAGGGTTCAAAAACCATGTTCAGGCTTCGGGTCTTATGCAGTGTATTTCAGGCAGAAATAGTTGCCATTAAGGAAGCCGTGGAGTAACTGAGGCGGTCATCAGAGCCCTCGAACGTGCGATCGAAGTCGGTAAGGGAATATTAATCGCGTAGGAGTACATGTAATAAGAATAGTTTGGGTGCCTTGAAAAATTATCAATAGATATGGGGCAACTTGGGACGCCTCTATCCTCCTTGACAGCTTGGACTCGTATAAGCTCAGCAAAGTTTCGTCAACAGTAAATAAAGTAAAAGTTTTCGGTTAGGCTCAGAATAGGCCTGTAGGTAGTTAGTTAGCCCTTTCAGCGCTCTGTCTTCTATAGTTTAGCGATCGCTGAATGCGTGTCTGGTGTATTGGTTATCCTATTATGCTTAAAATAGTTATTCGTATCTACTATAATGTATGTATATTAAAGCTACAAAGTATGTATATTTAATTTTCTATACTAACCTTTTGTATGAGCGCTAATAAAATATATATGATGAGTGCGGTCACTGTGTCGCTGTGCCTCATTTTCCGGCGGAAGTGCTTGGTAAACATTCTGTACATTCTTGTAGAAGTTCTGGAATTCACGCTCAGCACGCTCCAATGGGTAGAAACTACTATGTATGTAGTGTGCTATAAGATCGTCTCTTCGCTGATTAAATGTATCGTTGTACAAGTATTCAATATGCAAAAGATTAGGCAAATTTTTCATTCGCTATTTTCGTTTCACTTTCACTCATAGTTTCAATATATTTTCAAATTCACTCTTTCGTCTTTGAACATTTTTTGTTTGTTTTTTTTTCATGCGATCACTGTTATCACGGAAATTTATTGCTCTATAACTTAGGTGCAAATACATACATATATGAACAATTATCACTAATGAAATTTATGTTGTCGTTGTTTTTGCTGTTATTGTGCATGTGCGCTTTATGCATGCGCAATTTTTTATTTAATTATTTTTAACTTATGTACATGTGTATGTGTGTGTGTCTTTTTCCTATATCATATTATTTCTTGAATACTTATTATTATTATTGTTGTTCTATGAGTTACAATGCCTTCGCCTATTTAGCATGAATTGCATTCGCATTTAGCGTTGCTGCTTTTTATTTTATTTAAACATTTATTCGTTGTTGTCGTCGTTGTCACAGCTGCCACTTTGTGTTTATTTGTCGTTGTTGTTGTTGTTGCTGTGGGTTTTATCATGTTACTGATTGTATTTATTATGTTCTCGCTGCCACAGCTGATTACAAATCCATTCGTTTAGCTGCTCGTCGCACATGCACTCGTTCATATGTACTACTATTTGGTATATATCTTTTTTGTATGAATGTATGTAAATAGCATGTAGTACATTCATCTTTTTGTTACTAAATCGAATTAAAAAGAAATAAATCTCTGTTTTATTCTTCTATGCGTTTGATATTTAAAGCAGCCGAAAAAATTAATGATTGCTCAATGGAGAGTAGTACTTGTGCGCGATTGTGCACTTATGAATTTATACGTATGTACATATATTTTTAGGCACATACATATGTATTTGTATTCGAATAAAAGTTATATAATTGAAGCAATTTGCAAAATATACATGCAAACATGTTAATAAAATAGCACTGCACGAGTAACGTTCGCATTGACGACTACTACTTCAAAACTCACTCAGTAAGTCGGTCTCATCTCTAGTTACTAATTTTGAGACTATAAATTAGTGACTATTTTTGTTATTTGAGACAACTGAGGTATTCTAGTTCCAACAACTGAGGTAGTTCCAATCCCGTTTTTTTCTGACTAAAACTAAATAGTAAAACTGTCAAAAAATAAAAATTCGCTTAGAGCGAGAGAGTAACACTGAAAAGTATTGGATCGCCTTCTAGTAAAAAATAGTAACTTCAATATAACCTCCAAATTTTGGTTGTAAAGTTTTGCTTATTTTGTATGCAAACATACTCAGCTCACACATGTAAATAACCAAAAACACTTTCAAATTCGTTATAATCCACTTAAACAAGTAATTATATAATTTTCAGCGTGCATTAGCAGAGTGTACTTTTCTTTTTACAATTTGGTTGTCGGACACACTACAACTGATCGTTTGACACATTTACCAGCAACAAATCTTTGGACTAAAACTGGTAACTTCCGGTTACTAACTGGTTGTCCTCGGAGAACCGAATACGGATTCGATTTCCAGTAAAATCTGACTATTTCTGACTAGTTCGGACTCGTAATATAAANGTAACTTCCGGTTACTAACTGGTTGTCCTCGGAGAACCGAATACGGATTCGATTTCCAGTAAAATCTGACTATTTCTGACTAGTTCGGACTCGTAATATAAATAAATATTTTTAACCGACTTCCAAAAAAGGAGGAGGTTATCAGTTCGTCGTTTTTTTTTTGTGTTTATGTGTGTTACCGCATAACTTTGGACCACGTCAATCGATTTCGATAATTCTTTTTGCAACGGAAAGGTAGTGTCTATACTAATTTGGTGGTCACATACTAATTTGGTTTAGATCCGATCATTGGGCCATGAAATATAAAAAAATTACTTGTTATAACTACTACTCCTTATAACGTTACATATACCTGTAAATTTCTTCAGAAACAATTTTCTCTAGAAGTGTGTTAAAACCCTGATTAAGTACATTTAATTATGCTCCTTCTTGAAGTTAGAATATTTCGAGCGTGGCATTCAATCTAAGTTATTTCGACAAAGGTTCTGATAGTTGCTTTTACTTAATTGGAGCCTTCAGAACTCAATGGTTTTGCTCGATTGGCTCCAATTTTGGAGAAATTTTGCTTAAATTTGAACTATTTTATAAAAAGCTAGCTCAGTTTTGAAGATATTTTACTAAAATTTTGCACGATTGTATTTTATTTCCTTTCTAACATCTAGCTCCCATACAACTGATTGCTCAGAGACATTATTTTGCGAAATAACTCTTCCAATTAAGCAGGTAAAAATTTAGTATAGGTTCACTTTTACATATAGCATGCAAACCATTTATTATTCAGTTATGGAGTTAAAGTTATAGCGCAAAAACACATATAGAAAATTTTTTTTTAGAAAAATTATTTTTGACCAGATAACCTGAAAACCAGGCAAGCGTGAACAACATTGAGTTAAAGATGACTATGATTTAAAAAACTTAAATTCCATTTTTACAATTTTTGTTTGGCAAGCTCGAAATTCATTCTAAAATTGTTATACACATGAAGAAAGTTATATATCGTTTACCTATAGGTGAAAAGGTGACAAGTCCATTTTTTTTTAATTGTTCAGGGGAGACGAAAAATTGATGTAGTTTCGCATTATGTGTCTCTCTGCTACAAAAATTAAAATTAAAAAACTTGGCATGTATGTTCATGAGGAATACTGTGTAGAAAACTTCCACGCCAATATTTAATTACTTTTAAATAATATGACTTTTAAGTTAAGGCATGCGAGTAAACGTGTTAGATGAGTGCGTATGGTGCTATGGGGCGTTTATGCATATGAGCACGACTGGTTATTTTTACTTTATTTAGTACATATATCTTTTTTAAATTTTCATTTAAATACAATTTTGCGATTGAATCTCGTACTTTATTCAAAAGTGAAGATAATGCATTTTCTAAGATGGGTGTATTAGCGGTTCCACTTAGGGCACTGTACAGACAGATTGACCAGCATTTAATAAGTAAGTAAGTAAGTAAGTAAGTAGGTAGTATCTAAATACTCTGGCAACGAAGTTGCCATTAAAGCCCTGAACTCACCTATGATGCTATAAAATTTGTCCTGGGACGGCCTGACCGATATTAAAGAGCAGGAAGAACACTGGCTACTAGTGGTTTACTCTTTGGCAGTTGCCTTATGTCAACTGACAGATCATTGGACGAAATGGCTTGAGCAGGCACAGTCTTCCTGGTCAAAGGTGGATTGAAGATGGTGAAAGGAGATCTTAGTGCTTATCAAGTTGCAGCCTCTTATTTTGAATGGGCGCTTCCTACAGGTCACTGCCCGATAGCAATCCATATGACTAAATGGCGTATTTGCCGCATTTTTTTTTGTTCAATGATAAAATGGAATAAATTCAACCCTTTCTACTTGGATGACTAAATTTTGCAGATATTAAATTATTTTGTCTTGCACTTATTAACTGAAATTGAAGGAAACTCCAGGATTCAGATAATGCGCCTCCGTACTTGGGATTGGCTTGCGGCGTTCCATTAATAGAGTAGTGTATAACTTCCAAATTTATGTAGCATTACAAAATACAGCCTCTTTAATATCCAAGTTTGTCTCTGAACCACCACGGCTTAGCCTAACCAAAATTTTTGGGAAACTAAATCTTCTTTTTCTAGGATTTCATAAGCTTTATGACTTTTAATGGCCATATGAACTTTCTATGTAATATAAGTTTCGTTCAGATATCTTTTCTTAAGTTTCTACCGATATCTTTGCGAAATCCTTATTTTGTAGAATTTTAACGCTTCAAGCCCATACCTGTCGCAAAATCTACAGAAACCACACACATTAGTGCGACACCACTGCCACTCCACTGCAATTTTCACGTTGCATGCTCTACAGAACCACTGCTACTTGACAACCGCAAGCCACCAACCACCAGACAGAGGGCAAACGCCGTTCATTGCAATGCAACACAACCGCATAATGCAAATGCAATTCAATTAAAGTCCATTAAATGTACAACAGCAAGAGCAACACAAACTGAGGCAATAACAGCAACCACAATAGTAAACAGCAAATACGTCACAACGAAGAAGCAACACACAACAAATGACATGAACAACGACAACAAGTGCTGGAGTTGTGCCACAATACCCAATGGGCTATGGATCTCAAAATAAATGAATGAATGAGTGATTGCCTCGGCAGGCTGAGAACAGAAATCGCAAAGTGCTTCTACGCACACAAGCAACCACACGCATATATGTACATACATTCACAAGCGAAGTCACTTCCAAAAGACTAACCGCTGCAACCGCAAATGACAAAATGCAACAGTGGAAGCAACTACAACGACAGTCAACGCGAAATTCAAGTTTGTGGCTGCAATAAATCCGCTACTGGCATCGCCGCAATAATCGTCGACTGGTGCGTGCGCAGCGCAGTGCTTGGTGCTTGTTCTTGCCGCAACTCGCTTAACCTTTCTGGGCACTCGCGGTTCTGTCCGGACCGATTTAAACTTTTGATATCTTTGAGATGAGCACTCGAGTTCATATTTCATGATAAGTATCTTCAACATACTTCTTTCACAATCACTCAAATATACAAATACTTCGTTTAGACCTTTTCGGATGGGTTTCGCGCATTTATGATGGAATATGGAGTTTTTAATTGAGAATCTGCTCCAGAAGTGTGTTAAATGGCCGTAGAGGGGTAAATGTCTATAGCATGGATCCGTGGTTTGCACTCCAATCCATTGTTTGCATCATAAATCTTGATCAGGGTGTCGCAATAGAAAAGATGATCAGCGCAGTTCGATTCTGTGTGAAGTGGAGCCTAAGAAGTAAAGTCCTTCTGTATTAAAGTTGATCCATCCGAATCATTACACACTAATGACTTAATACATAACAGTCAAACTTATTCTTCGTCACGTTAGCGATAACGAAATTGATGGTCAGGCGGTTCTTTTTATGGAAGAGACAATACAAAGTGGGCAAAAGAGAAACATTTCTCGCTAAGAAAGTAAAACAATTTTTTTTGCGTAATACAAATGAAAGACAGATGGCAAAAATAATAAAAATAAAATAATAATAATAATAGATTGGCGCTTACACACATGTTAGTGTTTGGCCGAGCTTCTCCTACGACTTGTAGCGTGCGAGTTGATCTTGTCACACAAAGCGGAGGGACCTACAGTTTTACGCCGACTCCGAACGGCAATTGTATTTTTATAAGAAGCTATTCTTCATCGCAGAAATACATTCGAAGGTTTGACATAGCCTGCCAAGGGACGACCACTGTTAAGAAAAAACCTTTTTTCTATATTTTTTGCGATGTTGCTTTGACCAGGTCTTGAACCCAGGTGCTGCGGAGTGGAAGCGCGCCATGCTTACCACTACACCACAACGACCGAGCATAAAAGCCTTGGAAAAAAAACTCTCTCATTCACCACCCGTGGTGAAAATCTATTTTGAAAGAAAGCACTTTTATGTCATTAAGCTCGCGTGGCTCCGATATTCGCGGAGGATATTTTTTTGTTTGTTTCTTTAATCTATTTTTCCTTTTTAAATTTTTTAAAAGAAAAAATACCTACATACTTTTTATTTGTCAATTTTATTGTGGCGTATTAATATTTATTTCGATAGTGCTATTGAGCTTTGTGCCACGATTTTTGCTTTTTAGGAAAAATGGAAAAAGCA